GTTAGATTCTACTCTAACCAAATGAGAAACAAAGAGAACTTACATCCTCGCATGTTATATCTGGCAGTGGCGGGCAGTCGACACACACTGTAGGATAAGAACAATGAAATGGTCATGCACACATCCTGAATGCGCTAAAAATGAACAAAGAAGAAAAAAAATTCATACAAAAATAAAGGACCATTGCAACTGGGCCATTTAATGTATTTTTTATTTTACTGTTTCAACATTTATTACAAGAGATGGCGGTGGCACACTCGAGTTTTTCTAATTTATTTTTATGCCGCCACCAACACAAACATAATAGGGACGGACAACAGACATACTAATTTTCACCTTAGTTAAGTAAGGACGTCCGTGGCGTGGCAGGATTCGAACTCATGAGCTCTTGGTTCCGAGCCAAACGCTCTATCGTTACGCCACAATAACCCACATGGTATTCTTTTATTAAGAACCATTTCGCACATAAAGCCCTCAATAGGCAAGATAATGTTGCAAGATAATATGTACTACTCACCGCAGCTGTAGATGTTGCAACAGTCAGTTTCAGTGGTAGTCAACTCCTCGAACTGATTACACTCAGGGATGTTCGGGTCACAAGTAGACACGTCGCACACTGTTAAACAATAGACCGTTGTTAGCCTTGGTTGCTTTGGCGTATATAGATCAACCCATGGTTATTTGTGAAAACAAACAAGAACTTTTAGCCATATGTCTTGTACAACTTACTTTCTTCACATTTATGGCAGAACAAATTGAAATTTATAAGTTATTTAATAAAACCCACATCATTTCCTACAAATAACAAAGTTCGACATTAAAAAAACTAAGATACTAAGAAATATTCACAATGCAAAAAGAGAAATTCGGAACCTCTTTGAAATGTTACTGGCGCATTAATCATGACTTCATCAGGACAAAATCGGCATGATTCCTTGAATACGTCGATGAAGGTTAGACATCCAGGTAATATGATAGCCAAAACACAATTACTCAAAACAACTGGGTACAATTTGAGACGTTTCGGACTCTATCCAGAGTCCTTAGTCATTGACTGAGGATCCAAATGAACCGCAGGTATTTAAACACGAACATGAATTGATTCCTCGAAGATATGCCGTGTTGAAATCACATTGACTTACCGCAATCATAGTCAGGTGCGCAGTCATCTGGATCCTGCACGTTGATCGGCACATACCCATAGCCGCACACCGGTACATCCGGATGTTCGCAGGGTATATCACAGACTGAAGAAAATAGTTTTTGAAAGAAAAAAAATATAAAAAAAAACCCAGAGCTGTAGCTACTATACATTAAATTGTGTGAAATAAAATGATGACCTTAGCTGACCTCAAACATCAATTTTCTTACTTTCCCTAACTGTTTAAATCGTTGTCAGCTTAGATAAATGTAATAACACGAAGCTCATCATATACAGGTTTGAGAGGCTAACGTGAAAAACTAAGCCTCATTTGATTTAGGCGGTGAACATTGTTGTTGGCATCCTCCTGTCTCGAGAGACAATGAAGGCCGTGTCAGTTCCTACACCTGGGATCGAACCCGGGTCTCCTTGTTTGAGCGCCGAACGCTCTAACCACTACGCCGCACGACGCCACTGGCCATTAGAAGAAAATAAAGAAATTCTTACCGCACTCGTACTCTGGACAGCAAGGGTCGAAGTCGGCCACATTCCTCATGACTTTACAGTAACCTTCGCAGACGGGCTGCTCTACAGGTTCACAGTACACGTGCTCACAAGTGAAGTAGTTAGGGCCACGGCAAGTACAGATCTGGCAACTGTCACCGCCGGGGACCCAGGTAGAG